TTACATTTTTTTCAACTCATAAAACTGTCATCTGACGTTCCCTAGACTATTGAAGAAAGAAGTTACAAATATATTTTTCGTGTAACACTAATTTACTTTTATATTTGCGAAAGTTAGTGTTATATCTCCAACAGTTACGCTAACATTTGGCAAATTACTTATTAATTATTTGTTTACATATGTCGTATTTGCATCTGCATTTAAATTCACAAAACAATTTTGTACTTACAATTCCATTCAATTGTCCAATTGGACACTTTTTACAGCATATTAAATAAAAAAACATAGCTTATGAAACTTAAATTTGTTAATGAGACATGCACTCTATATTTAAACGTGATTTTTTAGTACCGAAAAAATAAAAATTCAAGAAAAGGAGAACTAAAAATTTTAGAATTACTTTGCGAAATATTTGATTAAACTATTTGTTTCTATATTGTACAGCTATCCCTGATTTAAAAAAAAATCATGTTTCTACGTCAATTTATTGATGAAAAAATGTAAATTTAGCAAATTTTAACGCACAAAATCAGATACGCGTAAGTCGCCGAGCGGCCCGATCTTCTCCACTCGACCTCGCGCCGGCTTCCCCACTCCGGTGCGCTGCCATCCTCGCGTTCCTTACTTTTCCAATGGTTTTAAACAAACTTTTTCGGTAGCAAAAATTCGAGAATTTTTTAACAGCAAATTCAATTCTTTCTTGACAAATTGGTGCCAGAACTCTTAATCTTAAAAATTAGAGCCACAGTAATTTTTTGGAAAAAAAATTGTTATCTTGGCTCCTAATCAGAAAGTAATCTTTTATTAATAAATAAAATATAACATAATAAATTCGTAGAAAAATATCAGCTGTCGAATGCTTCATACTATTTGATATTATGCATATTAACGGAATTATTCCATTTTTTTATACGAAAAGAAGATATCCACTTTTCAAAGTCGTTTTATAATAGTTCAAACTGCAAAAAATTGTTTTGTTATTAAGTGTTACGTGATAGTGCAAAGATTTTTCTTGAAGAAGAAAAATCACCCCTATAAATTGCTATGCGATTCAAAGATAAAGGAATTAACAGGAAGTTTTCCGCAGACAGGTTTAATGAACAAATGGCTTTTTATAAAAATTAATGAACATTTCAGGGCTTGTCCGAGGCTAAATTTATTCGTCGATATGAGGGCTACATTTTTTTATGAGAATTTAAAGCTTTGCGTTTAAATCTTAATGAAAAGAGAGCCAGTGAAAAAAGGTCTTTTTCAGTGTTTAAAAATTTTTTTTCTTAATTAATAAATCGATTTTAATGTTCCACGTCTCATTTTATTGGTATTTCGAATACCTACATTTTTTTATATCGAACTTTTTTCATATAATCAATATCTTTCATCTTATAAGCGAAAAACGTGCTTTTTGCACTAATCGAGTTTTTCGCATATTTTCTTCACAAGTTTCGAGTATTAAACATACGCATTTCTTTTCTGATGGCCTTTCGAAGATTTTCATGAAGAGAAATGCTGGTTTATAATTGTTTTCGGTAAAATTTTACCTCTATTGAATTATTCTTGTTACTCGAGTTTATGAAGTAGGTATATAACGCGCATGAAAAATAGTAAACAATTAAATATCTCGTAAACTGTTACGTTTAACATGACTTATACTATTCTGGATTAATGGGAAGGGTACTACTACTACAAAAAAAAAATTAACATGTTTACATGTAAATTAAAATTTACATGTTATTTAGAATACCCCTCGTCCCTTATTGATGTCGAGGGCCACCGAGTGACCGAAATTGCCGAGAAAGCATTTTCGATTGCTTAAAACAAGCGATTAGTGTGAGAAGGAGCTCGCTGTCTCGTTCACTCTCGGCGCGCCGAAGGCGAGCACACATACAAGGAGTTGTGCTTGAATGTGTGGCTATTGATTACGCCAGACGGCCGTCTGATTCTGTGTCGCTACCGTCAACGCAGAGTTCTTGGCTGAGTAGTCAGGAGCCTTAATAAAAAAGTTTACAGCTCGTATGAACCAAACGACAGTGCAGTGCACCAAGCGTATTACGTGCACAAACAATACTGAGTTTTATGAAACAAAAGAAAGATTTATATCAATTTGCAAAGGACTGTATACGAAGATTCGGAATGATAAACAAAGTAATAATTGTGTCTAGTAGGTTCGATCTTCTAAAAGATGGCATTGTTACAAAAGGATGAATGCGTTTGAGTAAGACATAACGATATACATATAATAAATATAAGAAATGAATGAAAGATGTCACTATTATCGAAATTGAAATTAAAAAATGTACTACTCGATCAAGTTCGACCATCGCTCCAGCATCCTAAGGGCCAGTTCCATAACTCTTAACAGAGGTTCAACTTATTCATCGTCTCTTTCCAATTCTAAAATTGAAAAGAAATGAAAAACAAGTTGAACTTCGGTTAAGAGTTAACCGTGAATTGTGGAACTGGGCCTTAGAGGATTACAAAAGTGTCTATTTTATCGATTAAATACAACAATTTTCATAAAATAATATCACATTACTTCGTAATTTTTTTGCAAGATTTGAAAATCCTTTTCCAGAACTAGAATATACACATTAACATTAGTCTGTAGTGTAGAATTTGTGAACCGAAAACGATAAAACTTTTTAAGATGACCCTATACATAGTCAATAATAATACTGATCAATAATATTGAACCAATAATACTGATAATATGCATAAATATTTTCAATATTTCGGCAATCTTACATTAGAATGGATAATGTTTCACTTTAGTTTTACATGCATTTTCTATTGCACTCAGACATACTGTGACATGGATCCTAATAAAGCGATACTGATGCTTAAGAATCAAAATCTAGATCACGTCAGTATTCTATGTCAGTATTCTACATCAATCCATTGAATCAATATTAATCACACAAAATCAGTAATATTGTATCAGTACTTGTTGTCAGTATTATTGACCGTCTAGGATCACCTTTAAAATTGAGGTCCTCTTTATACATCATTCTTTAGTCCAATATAGCCGCAAAAACATCATAAAATTTTTAGAATTAGGCTTAGATATCTAATCCTATACAAAATCATTCTACAAAATTTGTATACTACTGATCAAAAAGTACCGGGACCGGTCCAATAAAATAAAACTGGGACTGATCCAATATTTTGCATTTTAATAATACGCAATTATTCTCCCAAATTTACTTTATATCTTTTAAAATAATCCTCTCCCATGCGCACACACACGCGTATGCGCACGCACGCACGCATGCACGCACACCACACGCGCGCGCGCACACAGCAATAAATTTATGCCACATTTTTTCCAATTCTCGAAGCACCTTTCATATAATCGATTTCACGTATAGCCTTCAGAATTCTCTTTAATCGAATCTATCGATTCAAAACGGGGTCCACGAAGTGGTAATTTCAGTAAAATCAAGGGAATAGGAAAAAATCACACGGTACATATTAGACAAATATGGAGCTAATGAAATAGTATTCATAGGATTTTGATAAAAAAATCACGAACAAGAAAAAATCCTGCATTTCTATACAATGCAAAATGCGACGCAGCTCATGTTCAAATTATCTTTTAAAATCGATTGACATGATTGACACTAAATGATATTCCAACATGTACAATCATATCTGGAATTGTCAATCGTCAATCATTGAGCACTATATTTTTGGAGCGCACAATTTAAATGAACGTGCGTGCGTGCGTGCGTGCGTGCGTGCGTGCGTGCGTTTCAGTAAAACAAACTCCTTAATATGTGTATTTGAATATAAAATTTCATTCAGTACATTTATACTAAAGCGTAAAACTTAAAACTTAAAACATTAAACTTTATATCAAATCAAATGTATTGAAGTAAGCAAAAGCGATTATGATACATAATTGATCAAAATCTGCGTTTTATTACTGTAATCTACAAAAGATAAATTATAAAATACATAATGTAAATGATTCAAATAATAAATTAATTAGAAATATGTTAGCCCTTCTTACATATTTCTAAAATATAAAATTAATATTAAAGAATACTGAATTGCAAATTATTAACATAAATTTTGTCTTAAAAAACATATATGTTATAACTAATTTCTTCTGATATAAACTTTGTACACGAAGTGACTCGGTTACGATATTTTCAAAATTTTTTCTCAGTGAAATAGTATACTTATATTAAGTACATTTTACTAAGTTAACTAATAAGTTTATTAATTCTGATAACTATATACATATTTTATATCTATACATATTTCATAACTTTATACATATTTCATATCTAATTATTGTCGTAATTTATGTGTGTATCGCTTTGCTAAAATACATTTTCTGACATTAAATTGATTGACTACTTTCACAATGATATTTTCAAAAATAGAGGCAATACCGATTTATTTACTGCATAAAGTATAATTAAAAAAACTATGTATTAAATTTGTTTTGATGATCATTTCAATATATTACAATATATCTTCGATCACGTTTTATATATTCGATCTTTTCGATAGAATCAGGAAAATCATTGGCATAAATAGTTAACCAGTTTTCCACTGCTTAATTATTTATTTAGTGACCTTTCGGCAAAAAAACGTGTTGTTTATCATAAATGTAATTCAAAATGAATCTTTACAAGGTCAGTAATTTTGGTAACGTAATTATGTTATTAGTAAATGCAATATGAGCTCTATATATCTCTATAAGCACACATTACATAGAAGAATATTATATATTAATATTGCACAATTTAATTCAAGGCAACATTAAGAGAATTAATGAGATACTGAATGGAGGGATTCTATTCCAAACTAATGTGATCAAATGTAAAGATATTTTCATCTCACACACACACACACACACACACACACACGTACACATCCTTTCTCTCTATCTCTCTTTCGCTCTCTAACTTCTAAATTTTATAAAAGATAATCTTGCGCCGCTACTTGTTACTTGTAAGCGAGTTTTTGGCGAACTTTCACAAAAGACTTACCGAGAGCAAACACATTTCGAAAGAGCGCAAATAGTAGATCGTTTTGTCGTGTCGCTTCTCGTAGCACTATAATTCTTTTCGTACTTTCTGTTTATAAAATTAAATCACTATTCATACGAATTCACATCAGTACTTAGAGAATGCAGATAGACAGAAATCAGATAGATATGTGAGCGGCAGACAAGTACACGCGTATGTGCACATAATACACGCACACACGTATTTTTTTGTAAACGAATGTGTGTGTGTGTGTGTGTGTGTGCGTGTGTGTGTGCGTGTGTGTGTGTGTGTGTGTGTGTGTGTGTGTGTGTGTGTGTGTGGATAAGTAGGTGGGTGCGTTTCGAGTTACGCATAAAGCGCATAATATAGGTCATTTTATCATTCTTTATTAATTGGTAAATAATAAGAACAAATGATGTATCATGCGTTTCATGCGTAATTCGAAACGCACCCTGTGTGTGTGTGTGTGTGTGTGTATGTGTGTGTGTGTGTGTGTGTATGTGTAGTAGCGCGATGACGATGGCAGCGATGATAGCTTACCACGACCTTCGCATACGTTGCGTTCCACCCGCAAGCTTACGCGGTGACTTTTGGACTGACAGAAGGGTAGTTTCGTTCGCCGCGTCGTGCCACTACATCGATGCCACCATTCGGGCATAGATGTTACTAGCCGCTACCACCGCCATCGTAGTCATCTGTTTCGCAACTACCCATCGTCTATTGTTTCGCGAAGCGATTGGCTCTCTCGTAGTACGTTTTAAAATCCGCTTGGTACACTTGTGAGTGTAAATAGAACAATATACAATTAAAAAAAAAAGAATTTTTACAATCCAAAAAATATTAATGCTTATTTTTATCAATATACATCAACTTTTAATCTGAGTTCAATATATTCACTAGTTCTAAAAATTAGAAAAAAATAAAAAATAAATTAAGAACTAAATTTAAAGTTAATCTACATTGGTAGAAACGAGCATAAAACATCTTATAAGACGTCTTATGTTTTTCTCGATTTAAGAATATTTTATAATAGATAGCATATCTATTATTACAGACAGATCATTATTGAAGTTATATAAGTATTATACATCATGATTATATCAATAACTTCCATCTCATATTCTTCCTCATGCGTTTTCATATAATTTTTATTTTTATTTTTTTATAATATACGTCTAAAAGTTATCCAAAACAAGATGTTTTAAAATGTCTTAGGTCTGATTGCACCAACGTTACTTTAATTAGCGAAGCTTAAAACTCTCTTTGTCCCTGTCTCTTTTCGATTTTAAAACGAGATAGAGAGAATTTTAAGTTTTGCTTAAAATTAAAGTAACGTTGGTGCAATTGGATCTTAAGGATGTATTATAGACGTACAATCCCTGCAAAGAAAATTAAATTTGGAAGAGGGTAAAAGCACTAGATGTAGATCAGGCACTAATTTCGGACCACTTTTTATATTTAAATAATTATAGTATTTTGCATTAAATGGTATGTACACATGACAAGATTCTTTAACATTTGTTTTATCTCTTTCAAGTGCCAATTCAATTTAATTTATTAGGAACAAAGCTACATATTTTATTGATATCGTTAACTGAATGTGCGAAGTTAACGAATAAATATATCTTTAAAAATTCATTTACAGTATAATATCATAAGAATTGCCTTATGGCTTTCCATCTGTTCCATTAAAATTCTTATTGCTAAACCTTTAATTTTCATTAATTTTTTTAATTATTGATTTTTAACTATCACTAATTTTAAATAAACTTGAATGTTTTAAAATTGTATTATGATTCACAATTGGACCGTAGAACTAGTGTCACTCTAGTGAGAGTCGAGACATACGAGGGCAAATCAATAAGTACCCATGTTAGTAATGAAAACTCAAGCTTTTCACAAAAATTTTTTTTATTTTTCAATGTCAACCCCTTTTAGGAGGATACACTTTTCCCAACGCTTCTGCCATTTTTTTAACCTCTCAGAAAAATACGATTTGTCGAACTCTGTAAAATAGGCCTCTGTTTCGGCGATGACCTCCTTATTCGACGTGAATTTCTTTCCCATTTTTTCAAGTTTGAAAACAAGAAGAAAAAAGAAGTCATAGGGGGCTAAATCCGGAGAGTACAGTGGATGCGGCAGCAATTCGTAGTGCAATTCGACCAATTTGATTGTGGCGACTGCGAACGAGTGAGCCGATGCATTGTGAGCAATCGCGGCACTCATCAGGCCGCGAGCTTTTTCATTCCCAAATTATCATGCAAAATATTGAATGCCATTCCGTACGACACGCCTACAGCCTCTGCTACTTCATGCACTTTCGTTCGATCAGCGAGAATCATGTCGTGAACTTTTTCAACGATTTCCTCAGTAATCACGTCTGCCGGGCGGCCTGGGCACTCCTTATCAAAAACAGACGAACGACCACGTTTGAATTCGTTGAACCAATATCTGACGGTTGTTATAGATGATGAAGAGTTCCCATAGACAGCATCCAACTTCGTCTTTATTTCTTCGCATGTTTTTCCATCCAAAAATAAGAAACGAATCACGGATCGATATTACTCTTTTTCCTTGTATCGGAAAACATCAAACACGCTCACTATGAATTGCTGTCAAATCAAGACTATTGTATGAATCACTCTGAAATTTTTATGGCGTCGTTTGAAAGATGATATAGTACACGATAGTAATGCCAACTTGCATCAGCAACGTCGCCTGTCTTGAAACACGAGTACTTATTGATTTGCCCTCGTAAAACAGGAAAGATGCCATCAGTTGGAAATGGTTAATAATTTTTATTTATCTTTAATAAATGACACTTGCCCTCAAAAAAATAAGAAGGGAATATGGCTAAAATTAGACTGGCGATAATTATTTTAAGATAATTAACTCAAACCGAAGCGAAAAATGTCCACCCCAGCGCGGGTGTCACCCTCTTGACAAACGTGGTATTACATCTATAAAAATTGCTCTCATTTATTTATTTACATTTACTAACACATTAACAAACTGAAACATGGTGGCACCAATCACGAAGAGGATCGCTTACATCTCAACTCTTACTAGAATGATTCTACCTAGAACTAAATGTGGATCATCAATTATAATTTTGTTATATATATATATTACGACAATTACGGTATGCATGTGCAAATCATTTTTATTATTCTTATGGAATGTAGTAACGCCATCAAAAAGAATAAAACATTTGGTGAATTAATTTGCAAATAATACATGTGGTCTAATTGTGAATAATTGTTATTATTATATTTAAATTAAATTGAAACACATAAAACAGTAATGAAATGAAATAAAATCATCCATAATGTAATCTTTATGACCAAATTTTTTTTTAAAGAGTGGTCCTCAACTAATGATTTTATTCTATGTTTAATATTTACACTTCACATAAACTATATAAATATAAAAGTTGTATGAATAAGATTATATTTTTGTTTAATAACACATTTTTGTAGTTTATTTACTTTATTTGTTATTATTTTTATTATTACAAATTAAAAATATTAAAAATGATAAAAAATATACATTTTTCTTTTACAAGTACTTAAATATTCAAAATAATTTATGTAAAGTTTCGTTGCGATTCATTGATTAGTTACAAAGATATAAAACAAACGAATATTTTGTTTATTTACTGGACAACTAGTTCATGCATCATAGTATAACTCTAAATGATCTTAAATACATAATGTATTTATACTAAAAAAAATTGAAATTTTTATCACTTATTTTATAATTTTTATTTTACAATATGTACATTTCCATATATTTTTATTAGAATACAGATTTAAATAATTTAATAATTTAATAAATTTTTTAATAATTTTGTTATCATTTTGAATATATGTATAAAAAATGCTTAAAAGATGTTTCAAATTAAAATATAAGACGTTTTATAAAGCATCTCAAAGATGTCATTCCGATAATTGAGAGTACAGGGGATGCGGCAGCAATTCGTAGTGCAATTCGACCAATTTGATTGTGGCGACTGCGAACGAGTGAGCCGATGCATTGTGAGCAATCGCGGCACTCATCAGGCCGCGAGCTTTTTCATTCCCAAATTATCATGCAAAATATTGAATGCCATTCCGTACGACACGCCTACAGCCTCTGCTACTTCATGCACTTTCGTTCGATCAGCGAGAATCATGTCGTGAACTTTTTCAACGATTTCCTCAGTAATCACGTCTGCCGGGCGGCCTGGGCACTCCTTATCAAAAACAGACGAACGACCACGTTTGAATTCGTTGAACCAATATCTGACGGTTGTTATAGATGATGAAGAGTTCCCATAGACAGCATCCAACTTCGTCTTTATTTCTTCGCATGTTTTTCCATCCAAAAATAAGAAACGAATCACGGATCGATATTACTCTTTTTCCTTGTATCGGAAAACATCAAACACGCTCACTATGAATTGCTGTCAAATCAAGACTATTGTATGAATCACTCTGAAATTTTTATGGCGTCGTTTGAAAGATGATATAGTACACGATAGTAATGCCAACTTGCATCAGCAACGTCGCCTGTCTTGAAACACGAGTACTTATTGATTTGCCCTCGTAAAACAGGAAAGATGCCATCAGTTGGAAATGGTTAATAATTTTTATTTATCTTTAATAAATGACACTTGCCCTCAAAAAAATAAGAAGGGAATATGGCTAAAATTAGACTGGCGATAATTATTTTAAGATAATTAACTCAAACCGAAGCGAAAAATGTCCACCCCAGCGCGGGTGTCACCCTCTTGACAAACGTGGTATTACATCTATAAAAATTGCTCTCATTTATTTATTTACATTTACTAACACATTAACAAACTGAAACATGGTGGCACCAATCACGAAGAGGATCGCTTACATCTCAACTCTTACTAGAATGATTCTACCTAGAACTAAATGTGGATCATCAATTATAATTTTGTTATATATATATATTACGACAATTACGGTATGCATGTGCAAATCATTTTTATTATTCTTATGGAATGTAGTAACGCCATCAAAAAGAATAAAACATTTGGTGAATTAATTTGCAAATAATACATGTGGTCTAATTGTGAATAATTGTTATTATTATATTTAAATTAAATTGAAACACATAAAACAGTAATGAAATGAAATAAAATCATCCATAATGTAATCTTTATGACCAAATTTTTTTTTAAAGAGTGGTCCTCAACTAATGATTTTATTCTATGTTTAATATTTACACTTCACATAAACTATATAAATATAAAAGTTGTATGAATAAGATTATATTTTTGTTTAATAACACATTTTTGTAGTTTATTTACTTTATTTGTTATTATTTTTATTATTACAAATTAAAAATATTAAAAATGATAAAAAATATACATTTTTCTTTTACAAGTACTTAAATATTCAAAATAATTTATGTAAAGTTTCGTTGCGATTCATTGATTAGTTACAAAGATATAAAACAAACGAATATTTTGTTTATTTACTGGACAACTAGTTCATGCATCATAGTATAACTCTAAATGATCTTAAATACATAATGTATTTATACTAAAAAAAATTGAAATTTTTATCACTTATTTTATAATTTTTATTTTACAAT